TGCAACACAGGGAATCCAGGATAGATAAACCCCTCAGGGCCAACAATGAGAATAGAGATACCAGGAGGATAAGAGAAAGGTGGGGGTAGAAAGTGGGAATTGATCGTAAGGATCAACAAATAACCTCCCTCCTAGGGGGCTGAACAACAGAAAAGTGGGTGAAAGGCAACAGAGGATGATGTAAGACATGAAAATAATAATCTAAAACTTATCAAGGGTCCATGAGGGAGGGAGGGGGAAGGAGGGAGGGTAAAAAATGAGGAGCTGATATCAAGGGCTCAAGCAGAAAGAAAATGCTTTGAAAATGATGATGGCAGCATGTGTACAACTGTGCTTGACACAACGGATGACTGTGTGGATTGTGATAAGAGATGTAAGAGCCCCAAATAAAAGTATTTAATTTGGGGGAGGGGGAGAAAAAAAGTATTTAATTTAAAAAAAAGAAAAAGAAAGAAAAAGTCCTGAGAGCAGCTCAAGGAAAACAGAAAGTTACTCACAAAGGAGAACCAATAAGACTAAGCTGATTTCTCATGAGAAGTCATACAGGCAAGACGGCAATGGGACGGCATGTAAAATTCTGAAAGGAAAAAGTTATTAACCAGGAGTCATATTTCTAGTAAAACTGTCCCTCAACAACAAATATACAAATGTGCTTGACACAATGGATGTATGTATGGATTGTGATAAGAGTTGTACAAGCCCCAATATATATATATATATATATATATCCCTCAAATTTGGCAGCAAAATCAGGACATTTTCAGATAAGGCAAATTAAGGAATTTGTAAAAAAACGAGACCAACCATCAAGAAAAACTAAAAGGAGTTCTTCAGACAAGAAACCAACAATGGCACATAATTAAAGATTAACATACATAACAATGCTATCCAGAAGTCAATCCAGGTGTAGAAGCAGCAAAAGTAAAACAAGCCTACAAGACTTTAAACAGAAAACCAGATATATCAATTTGTAATGAAGACAGTTACAAAGTAAAAAGAAAGAATAATGTAGTATAGAACTTCCAAGCAGAGAAATTTCAAGAACTTGAGTGATGGGAAAGGCAATATACACTAAGAGAGGTTGGCAAAAAAATGAAGGTGGGGAGGACACTGGGAGGATGGTAAGAGGTAAAGCAAAAGAGGAAAACACAGTTATATACAAAATCCTGTGATAACAGTGATCTATAAATACTTAGTGGGTGCGGGATGAGGAGAGTGAGAGTTCAGATAGAGAGAGAAATGAAGGGAGAAAAGGGTTTGAAAGAGGGAATTTGGATATTTACCTTTTTTGTAACTAACCATACATATGGTAGAGCATAAAGGGCAGCAAAGTTTTAGAACCTTCTTGGGCATAACCAGGTACCTGAGCGGCCTGGGGGCTTCAAGACCATAGTCTCAGGGGACACCAAGGTCAACTGGCATAACATAGTTGACAAAGACAATGTTCTACATCCTACTTCAATGAGCAGGGGCTGAAGTCTTACAAACTTGTAACTGACATTCTAAAGTGTGACTATTCCCACTCCACATCAGAAAAGTGGGTGAGGGAGACATTGGTCAGTGTAAGACATGAAAAAATAATGATTTATAAATTATCAGGGGTTCATGAGGAAGGAAGGGTGGGGGGGGAGGGATATGAGGAGCTGATACCAAGGGCTCGAGTAGAAAGAAAATGTTTTGAAAACGATGATGGAAACAAATATACAACAGTGCTTGACACAATGGACGCATGTATGTATTGTGATAAGAGCTGTATGAGTGCCCAAAAAATGATTTAAAAAAAAAGTGTGACATTGATCTTTCCCTGTCTCGGACAAAGCAAGAGTATGAAAATCTTATGACCCAGCAATTCTTTGCTGGGTATATACCCTAGAAAAGTAAGAACTATAGTACAGACATATGCCCACTCATGCTCATCACAGCATTATTCACAATAGCTAGCAGATGGAAACAACTTAAAAGCTCATCAGTAGAAGAACGGATAGACTTTAGTACACACAAACTATGCATCACTAAAGAATAATGAAACTGTAAAGCATCTCATGACATGGATGCACCCGGAGAACATTATGCTGTGAAATTAATCAATCACAAAAGCACAAATACTGCATGAGAGAACTGTTTTAAGAGAAAATCAAGACAGGTTTTCAAAACAAAACAGACTTTGAAGGTTACTGGGGTGGTGTTAAAGGCAAGGGAGGGAAAGTGAAGCAATAGGCTAGAGCAGCGGTTCTCAACCTGGGGGTTGTGACCCCCTTAGGGGTCGAATGACCTTTTCATAGGGGTCGCCTAAGACCATCAGAAAACATAAATATTTCACAATATATAATTACATATTGTTTTGTGATTAAT